GGGTCATGGAAGGACAAATAACTTCTGTCACAGTCACTACATGATACAGTACAAAAAACATTAGGAAAAGAAATTCTGTAGAATTTCTTCCTATCATTATAGAGAATATATATGACATCATTCCATATCATCCTAGAATTGCTCCCATCATTCTCTATGGAAAAGAACTGGGAGAAGCATGCTGTGTTTTGAATATATTTCAAGATGCTTAACAAATGATCACCAGAACCCTTTTACATACAGTTTTTGAAAAGCCAACTATCCAGACACCAAAGAAACAAACCAAAACACTATCTACTTGGGTGGGCAGTACAATGATTGTTCTATACCATGATTCCTCCAGAGGAGCACTGCACATTAACAGTTTCTCAGCACAGGCCCTAAGGGGCAGAAGTGGTAATATGCCATACTAATTGTAACATACTACTACTTTTTGAGCTGACAACTGCATTTAGAACAATAGTGCTAGCTGGAACTCAGGTTTACACCTTCTTCTAAGTTGTTGATGATTTATTTATTCTATCCTATTTAGAAATACTGATTCATTTGAGTACTTTCATGTGGTCTTGGGTTTACTCCATGTCTAATCAGTGCTCTAAGTAAAGAAAAATATTTTGGTGGCAAATATGGTCTCAAGCTCAGCAGGCATCCCCTTCACATCACCTGTGACTGTTCATCAAGCTGAACCCAACAAAGCTACAGCTCCCATTGGAAGTGTAGAGCAAAATTCCTCATGAAAAGCTATCACATGCAGAGGAATAACACTGAACATCAGTAATTTGCCACAGTACTAGACAACTTATTTCACAGGAGCAGAGTTAACTGCCCCAGGAGGAATAGCCTGCTGGATATAACTTGCTCTTCTATAAGACCATCGATACCACTGAATCTGGAATCATAATTCACAAACAAAAAAAACAACTGAGTACGCAAAACCAAGAACTACACATAATACTTTGGAAGATACATGAAAAGGCAGCATTTGTAAACAAAACAGACAAATTAAGCGGTATGTTGTAGATTCACCATTTACTATCATACTGTTACTGCACAGCATGGTACAGAAGGCAGTTTAAATGAAAAGTATAATTCCTAACATAAGTGACCTTGATGGTTATGTCACAGAAGATAAAACTGGAAGCTCTGCTGAACACTAGTATCACCCAAGACAGCACTGTTGTGCATACACTGAGTGGCCTGGACATAACATTATACTGTGTGTCCCATTGTTATATAGGTATCAACATAAGAGGATGTGATAAACACCTGCTTTAGAAGTTACCCATCAGAGTTCAGCAGCCTTAAATTCTGACATCCATATTAACTTAATGACTGCTATAATAAAGGTACATGTCGTTCTGTAAATTGGAATCAAATGAACAATCAATGCTACATAGGAAGGGATGACTAAGTCACATAAACAAACTGGTAGCTTAGCTTTCTGAAGGGTGATTTTATATGATTAAATTATCTTCTTGAATTATTTGACCTATCCTAAAAGCATTTCAAATTGTCAACCCCCCCACATATACATCTTTTAATATGTCTAATTTCAACTGTGCATACTATTCATACCCTTTTCCCTACAAAAAGGTTGAGAGCTGAAGCTAGAGCAACTTCTATCCCTTCTCCTCCCCTACCGAAGACAAAATATCAAAGTCATTAAAGGCACTCCCACACAAAAAAGGAACATATGGAGACAAAACTATCAGCTTTTAAAGTTCATCGCAAAAGAAGTGGAGATACAGGAGCAAAATTCGTTACTATTGAAATCAGTGGGAGCTTGGGCACTGGCTTAAATTAAAGCCAACTCTGTCCTTATTTCTCACATGGAATATCAATTTGATAAGAAAAGGATGTCAGTGCAAGAATACTGAGAAGCCACTGGTTTCCAGGTTGGAGTTATCAGTATTCTGTACCTGCACACCACAAATAATGAAACCTCACTGAGAACTCTCTGAAAGAAAAATCCATTTAATTTTCATATTTCTTTGTAATCTTAAAGATGTATGAAATACCTGAAACCAAGTTAATGAACAATTCTGATAAAACTACATAAAGAAAAAGCACCCAATGGAGACTGGGACCTATGTCCACAAAGGTGTAGTTGTTCTGGCCTAAAGACAGATGAGTATCTGAAACCTTCAGTGATCTCAGTTGTGATCCTTTGCTCATAATTACAGTGCTGGAGAGGAATTTTTATAGCTAACATTTTTTAAATTACTGTAAAACTTATCTTTAAGAGTAAACTTATCTTTAAGAGATTTAGGAGACTAATCAGACCTTCCTCTATATCAATCTCCCCAGAAGATAGGCTCCTTTAAAAAAAATAATGAAAACAATCTTGATTTTTCAGCAAAGCATTAAAGCCACTGATTTATTTTGCTATCCAATTTAGCAGAAAATCGTCATTATCTCTGGAGTAAGAGGTACATATTGTTTAGCATTCAAATCAGAACAGCTTTTTTTTTTTTCTTCCCCTGAAATGTAAGCCCAGGTTCCCAATCTTAATTGCTGTAAACAGCTCTGAATGAGCCAATGCAGTGCTGCCTTCCCAGGTTTGCCAAGACCTCTGCTCTATGCAATTCTCAAACAGCTGCAGTATTGAGAAGACCAGGCTGTTCCACGCTGCCTTTCAGAGCCCTGAGGACAGCAGCCAAGCAGAGAAACACTATTACTCCTCCTTCTCCTTGGTACTAGGCTGACTTGTAGAAGCAGAATCTAGAATAATTCCCACAGGAGATGAACTGAAGAACACAGAGGTAAAGCAAAGAAATATTTCACCAAATAGCTTCTTTCACCAGCTGAGTGCAGGATGCTTCAAACAACCCTACTTCTTAGTGGCACATATGGAAGCTGGATGGCTTGAATGTGGTCCAAGTATTATAGTCTGCTTAGAGTGCCTGAATCGTGCTAGCAGCTGGGACAGGGTTTACATCAGGGCTGTGTCCTCCTGTGCCATACTTCTCCACAGCAGTCTCTGTGTAATGAACAGCACTCATAAAAGCATTTATCTCACAATTCAATACTATAGTGTTTGCTACAGGAAGTCCTTGATTCAATGGGCATCCTCACGCTTCCTTTCTTTACAGTTTGAGCAAAAGGCTCATTTTAGAAAGTCTAGTACTAGAAATACACATTTATATTGCTTTTAACCAGTAGTCTAACAGAGCGCATCAAATCCTATATCAATAAAAATCTACAAGAGAGTCATTAAGGAAGGATGACAGCTAGTTCTCCTTTACAATTTTATCAGCTCAACAGGGTTTTTTTACTTTAAAACACAGCAAACAAAAGGCTTATGTTTGTCAAAACATTATCTGACTAGTGAAGTCCTTTAGAAAAATCCATACAGATTTCATGTTTGCTAGCCTAATTAAGACTATTTGCACCTCTAAAAAAGTACATTCATCAAGTAACTAAGTATAATATTTTAGGAAACAATTTTTGTATTATAAAGACTATATTAATATTTATATATTATAACGACTAATATTATATATATATAATAAAATATTAAACATTTTTCTTTAACGAAGAATGAAATGGACTGTGCTTCATTCCCAAAAGACCTTTCTTTCCATCAGCAATTTCTTCAGAATAGGTTTTGTTCTCTCATTTCTATACAGTCAGAGAATCCAACAATTTACACATTGCATAGGATCTGTTAACATGAGGCAGGACTTAAGGCAGACATAGTTAAATATTTAACATGAAAATTTTTTTATTTGACTATAAGCTCCTGAAGAAGGGCTCATTACTGCAGCACTGCTGCTAGGTAGAACTATAAGAGGAAAGAACCAACTATTTTATGTAGCCATAGGCAGGAAGATCATCACAAGTAGGTACAGGAGGAACGGTGAAGTCTTCTAGGGAGTTTCTGACTGCTGCACTTTAGGAAGGGAAGGGACTTATTCCTCTCCTCTGGATCCCGAAGGAAAGGCCAGGTTCTAGACTAGCTAATTAGAAGCAATTCAAATGAAATATAGTCTGGTCAGAGAGAATGGCCAGTCATCAATCCCTAATACCCAACATTTTTAATACTCCCTCACAATAAAGGAAATATTACTCCATTTGAACCAGTTCAGTCCTCTAACATGCACCAAATATTAGACATGGAAGATGCAAGACAGACAAAGAACATTTTTTTAAACACTCAAGAATTTAAGCCTTTACCCCAAGACTCCTTTTCTCTACTCTATACCTGTGGTTTGCTTGGAAATTCTAAGTTTCAGAAAAGTTGGTTAAGTTAGTTTCATCTGTCTGTAGTAAGGATGGCTTCCTTTGCAGGTAAGAAGATTCGGGTTTCTCTAGGACATGAGGTCAAAGGGCATCCCTCCTCCTATTATCTCTCCCTACTCCCCTCACCAGAACACGCAGGTTTTTATCAACAGGCTGAAATAAATTGTTCACACAATTACATCATTAGTAAAAAGACAGATGTGCAAATCCTTGTTCTTCTAAAGAAAACAATGTCAGATTCTAAAATAAAACCCGCACAGGATCTAGGTTTAAAAGCTGATGAAAATCAGCATGCAGGAAACATTCTGGGGAAAAAAAAATACGAAGGAAGGCAAGATCGTCCCTGCAACAAAGGAAAGATCCCAAGATTCAAAACCTGCCACGAACTGTGCAGACTGATCTAAATTCCCTGTCCAAGGTGACTGAACCTCGGAGACACGGGCGGGGATGCCGCCCTCGCCCTCCGGCTTTACGGAGCGTAAGGAGGGTTTCGGGGCTTCTGCGGGACCCTTGGGAGACAGGGCTCCGCACAGCGCGGCCCCTCCGCGCCCGGGGACAGCACCCGCGGCTCTGCCGGGGTAGGAGGGTCCCGTCAGCTCCGAGCGGGCGCTTCGCCCTTCTCCGCGCCGGGGGCCCGGCCCCGGGAGCTCCCCGCAGCCGCCAGGGACCCGTCC